CATGTGTGTGTATGTGTGTGTGTGTTGTCACTCTAACTCCCTGTTGAAGAGTTGTGTTTGTAAACTTCCTCCCTGATCAAATCACCGGCATGTTGCAATCCAGATGCTGTTGAACTCCCCAAAAATCCTAGCCAGCACAATCAATGGTAAAAGAATGAGCTTCCACCCAACATTATCTGGAGGACCTCAGGAATCCCATCTCTGCATTAGGCAGTAACACAGGAATTAAATGTGGCACTTTGTGTGTGTTTTAAAGATGAATTGTATAAATACATGTAGCAGAATCACAAGTGCTATACCAGGCATGAGCAAACTTCAGCCCTCCAGGTGTTATTGGACTTCATCTCCCACAATTCCTAAAAGCCTACCAGCTGTTAGGAATTGTGGGAGTTGAAGTCCAAAACACCTAGAGGGCCAAAGTTTGCCCCTGCCTGTGCTATACCATGTTAATGCTATAATAATAATAATAACAACAACAACAGCAACAACAGCAACAGCAACAACAACAACAACTACTACTACTACTTTTGTACCCTGCCTCCATCTCCCCAAAGGACTTGTGCCAGCTTACATGGGGACAAGCCCAATCAACATAGTTAAAATAACACATTAAAATTCATAAAAACGTCAACAAGCAAAATAAAACAACAATGACATAACACAATATAAAGCAACCATCAAACAGACAGCCGGTAGTCTGAAATAGAAACACAGTTCTGGGCTCGGGCTGGGGGCTGATACAACATTTTCTATTGGCAACATGGTGACAGTTGTGGCAACCTAAATTAGTATTTCATGGTTAAATGACAAAACCTACCCATAGATGCTCATATTATGGAGGACAGGCTTACCAACTCAGTTATCACTGTTCTCTTTTACAGGTAATATGTTAAATGTTTTGTTGAGCAACTTGCTCATTTGTACCCAGGTTAAAGTATGATGCATTTTTGTATATGAAGCTCTCTTGTTCAAACATGTTACAAACAGAGCTTGGAAGAGTTACATTTTGGACTACAATGCCCAGAACTCCCAGCAAGGATGGCCACTGACCAAGCTCTTCCGCTCCAAAGTGATTTTGATGTTGTATCTGTACAGCCAACTTACAGGGAGGAAAGCAATGCTTCTACAGTACTCTTAGTGTGAATGAATTAAATGTGCATTTTTGCCCCTAATCCTCTTGCTCTCATTACAAGAAATAATGGCTGTTCCTCAAAATAACTGTGTTCAGAAGAGAATGCTGATCCCATACTGGAAGATTGTCAGCTTGGCAAAAGAAGACAAAAAAACCCCTTTCTTGCCTTTTACTGCTGTATAAAATGGTTTATAATCCTAACAGCAGGTCAAAATGGAAGCCGACCATTCTCCAAACTAGGGAAAAGAGGAACCAAAGAAGGCATTTAAATGAAAGGAAGACACTTCTTCCAGGAAAAACCATAACTTACACGGGATGCTCACTGCAGGGTGGTGATGCAACTGAAGAATTGACACATTAAAAGCTCTGTGCAACTTAACAGTTGCCAGAAGTTAAAGGGAGACTGTTAAAGAAAGCTCCCATTGTTATTAAAGTTAGTGAGTACTGCAGAATGTACAAGATCACTTACATTTTAAAAATACACTATTTTAAATAGTTTTCCAAAATCCTTAGAGTTTGGGAACAACATAGATACAAAGGAATTTTCTACTATTCAATTGTCATTCAGAACATCTGGAAAAGTGTAATACAGAACATGGAAAAGTTCCTTTCTATGGCCCTCATCACACTAGAGAATGAATCCACTTTAAATCCGGTTTCTGCCTCCTGCAGAATTCTTGGGTTTGTAGTTTAGGGAGGAGCCTTTAACAGCCTCACTAAACTACAAACCCCAGAATTCTGCAGGAGACAGAAACCAGATTTAAACTGGATTCATTCTCTAGTGTGATGCGGTCCTTTGTCAAAACCTTAGAATCTATCAACTAGCATTCCCTCGTATTTAATTTATGGTACAACAGAAAATGTTTTCTTTCCTTAACAGCTGTACATGTGCACTCAAGACCTAAAATGCATTCACAAAAATACAAGGAAGAGTTTAACTTTTTGAAACTAGACTCTTCATGCAGCTGTTTGGGAAAGCAAGAACTTTTCAAAGACAAAAGTTCAATTTTTAATAGAAATGCGTTGTCATTGCTCTATTTCTATCCTGCCTTTCTCCCAGATAAGAACTCAAAGACGTTTCCAATAACTAAAAAAGGCATTGCTCAAAACCAGCAAGACACAAAGCTTAAAACAAGATTAAAAAATCCCACCCACCCCCCCCAAATCAAAACCAGATTAAAACATACACAATAAAACACACATACATGCAGTCGTACAATTAGCAATATCCAGCACATTGTGTAAGTTAATGAAGGCTTTGCAAATCTAATGCTTTTGCCAAACTTCCACATTTATGCCATGGCTCATTGGATCTTAGGGCCTCTATGTTTGTATTTTCCCTAGCTCAACGTCACTTCTGTATAGAAAGGGATACATCATGTGTGAAAACCCATTCTGCAGTCTGGTACATGCAAACACAGTACTCTAGAACAGTGGTTCTCAACCTGTGGGTCCTCAGATGTTTTGGCCTTCAACTCCCAGAATTCCTAACAGCTGGTAAACTGGCTGGGATTTTAGGGAGTTGTAGGCCAAAACACCTGGGGACACACAGGTTGAGAACCACTGGACTAGAGAAGGTTTACCAGCTGTTAGGAATTGTGGCAGCTAAAGTCTAAAAATCCCAGAGGAGCACAGTTTGAGAAACTCTGCTCTAAACACAGGAGATCCCAAATGATTTTGGAAGCTAAGTAGGGTCCACTCTGGTAGTACTTGGATGGGAGACACAAAGAATACCAGAAACTGTAGGGGAAGAAACTGTCAAAACTACCTCTGAGTATTCGTTGCCTAAGAAAACTCTATGAAATTCATGGGGTCACTGTAAGTTGGCAGCTGACTTGAAAACACAAACCACACAAACATTGTACAAATGCCTATGCCACAAAAGCTAGGCTTCAGAGCACCCCCATAGCGAAGGAGCGTTGCACAAATACATTGCTAAGGATTTAACACAGGACATGACTGTCATTTCCAGAAATTGTATTATTTGCTCAAAGGAAATTTCAATTTTTCCCACTGCAAAAGGATGTTGCAGCACCTTTGAGACCAGCTAAAATAGAAAAGGGCTTCTTACACTCTGGGTCCCAGTCACAAACGGGATCCCATTTGGCTCAAAAATGGGGGCACGAGAAGTTTGGCAACAGCAAAAGGTTTCTGAACACCAACCACTTACACAACAGAAAATGCTTCAGCTGTAATAATAATAAATAATAAACTTTATTTATATCCCACCACCATCTCCCAAGGTACTACAAGTGTAGTATATAACATCAACAGTACAAGAGTATAAAAACAATCTCACATAAAAGTTATACAAACAAGGACTATTAACCCATAAAAAAAGAAAAACACAGTTTAAAATGTAGACCATCTGTAGTTAAAACCAGCTGCCTTCAAATCACAACTAAAGTGCCAAAGTGTCAACCTCATATGGGCCCATTTCAGCTTACTCAAGGCCAAAAGCCTACTTAAAAATCCATGTTTTGTGTACTCTACAAAAAGGAAAAGCAGCTTGTTCAGCAAGCCTTGCAAATGCTGGTTTCTTATTTGGTTTTTATGCCTATATACCTGGGGTCACGAGAAATATCATCAAGGGAGAAGAGGTGGTGGTTGGGAAAAGCTGGCATAGGTTTTGATAGGCTAGCAGTGGTTCTCAACGTGTGGGTCCCCAGGTTTTTTGGCCTACAACTCCCAGAAATCCCAGCCAGTTAGCTGGTAAACTGGCTGGGATTTCTGGGAGTTGAAAGCCAAAACATCTGGGGATCCACAGGATGAAAACCACTGACCTATAGGTTTTGATAGGCAAGTGGGATCCCTGGTTCTTAATCTGTGGGCAGCGGATCACCAGTGGGCCATGAGGATAAATATCTGGTCTGTGAGCCTCCTCCCTCTTTATTAATTTTATTTTAGTTATTGTATTTCCACTCCTTTTGCGCTGCCTGCCACTGCTTCCCTGTTGCTGACCATACCATATGCTCTGTATCAGAAACTAGAGCTGATGTGGTCTATCCAATGCAATTTTCTGAAGCAGCACCTCAAACCGAATCTTAACTTGACCAAAAACTGATTTATAACCCTTTTGGTACTAATCGGTTGGGGGTACTTTGAATGCAATTTCCCTGCTTCTTGGTAGGGGGTTGGACTGGATGGCCCATGAGGTCTCTTCCAACTCAAGGATTCTAGGATTCTAATGTTGGAGAGAGGTCCCTGGTCAAAGTGGTCCCTGGTCAAGGTGGTCCCTGCTCAAAAAGAAAGGTTGGAAAGCTCTGCTTTAGCTCAATGTTGGAATCATTTAAAAGTTTTTGAAGGTCACCTGGTAGCTGTTTTAGACATTGACACAAACCTGTTGAGCAATGTTTACAGAAGACTGTGCAGAGGATGCTTCACCTGTACAGGCAGTCCCTGGGTTACAAACATCTGACTTACAAATGGCTCAGAGTTAAGAACAGGGGTGAGACCACAAGAAGTGAGAGAAATCTGCCCCTCTGAAGGGAAATTCTTTTCTGGAAGAGTAACCATAGGGAAAAGGGCTCTCCACTGAAGCTTTCTCACCAATCCTTGTTTCCTTAACAAGCCACACTTTTCCAAATCCAATTATCACAGGGACAGAAAATGAGGTGAAGTCTTCTGAACAAGGGAACAGGCAGCAACACAAACACCACAGGGCACTTCCTTAGCGTTTGGGTCTTGCTGCAAACCCACACCATGGGCATGCCCTGCCTCCTTCCTCTCCCTTCCCACCAGGAAGACAAGGAGAAGAGTCCTCTATCTATCCACCCCGGGGCCGGACGAGGAGCCCTGCTGGGGGCTGGCTCCCTTCCTCCGCCGCTTCCTCCTTCCTCCTCCCCCGGCCAAGGGTCCCGCTCCTCACCGGCGATGTCCCAGAGCTGGAGCCTGACCAGGGTCCGGCTGTCCCAGGGCAGGACCTTGAGGGCGAAGTCCACGCCGATGGTGGCCCGGTAGTGCTGCGAGAAGAGCTGGTGGACGTAGCGCTTGATGATGCTGGTCTTGCCCACGCCCAGCTCCCCGATCACCAGCACCTTGAAGAGATGCTCCCGGCTTTCCGAGGCCCCCGAAACGCTGCTGCTGCTGCTACTACTGCCGTTACTCCCACCTCCCCCTCCTCCTCCTCCTCCTCCTCCGGCTCCTCTTTCTCCTCCAGCCATTTCTCACTCTCCCAAACTTCTCAAGAACCTGACACTTGGGAAGAAGGCGAGCAAAGGAGGGAGACCCAGCCGCCCGCTCCTCTCTCTCTCTCTCTCTCTCTGCCTGACTTCGGTCCACTTTCTTTGTCCGCTTCGCCTACCCAAACCGGGGAAGGCAAGGCAAGAGGCGAGGAAGCAACCACCTGACTTGGAGTCACAGGACGCGGAAGAAACCCCGCAAGTTATAAAACTCCCGAAAGGGGCGGAGGAAGCCAGGCAGGAGGGAGCAGGCCCTCCCCGGCCCGGATGCGGAGCAGAGCGGAAGGCGGCGTCCAGACGGGCCTTGGGCCCAAGGCCGCTTCAGCAGGGAACGGGAGGCGGACAAGAGCCACCCCGACTCTCCTCTTCCCTCCTAGCGCTTGAATTGCCGTCTCAGGGCTGTAGTCCTGAAAATATATTGGTCTGCCTTCTCCGCCAGAAAGGGATGGTGCCTCACCAAATTACAACTCCCAGGATCCCATAGCATGGAGCCAGCGGTGTCAGACGGCATTCATTCTACAGGTGGCATCCCAGGTGGCACAGAAAAGAGGCACTAAAGCAAGCATGGGCAAACGTCTGCCCTTCAGCTGCTTTGGAGTTCAACTCCCACCATTCCTAACAGCCTAAGTGCCCCTTCCTTTCCCCCCCTCAGACGCTTAATTTTGTCATTTGGAAGTTTTAGTTGCTGGGATTTATAGTTTGCTTCCAATCAAAGAGCATTCTGAACTCCACCAGTGATGAATTGAACCAAACTTCGCACACAGAACTCTCCTGGGCAACAGAAAATACTGGAAGGGTTTGGTGGGCATTGACCTTGAGTTTTGGAGCTATAGTTCACCTACATTCAGACAGCACTGTGGACTCAAACAATGATGGATCTGGACCAAACTTGGCACAAATACTCAATATGTCCAAATGTGAACACCAGTGGAGTTTGTAGAAAATAGACCTTGACATTTGGGAGTTATAGTTGCTGGAATTTATCATTCACATACAATCAAAGAGCATTCAGAACCCCACCAACAATAGAATTGGGCTAAACTTCCCACACAGAACCCCCATGACCAACATGACCAACAGAAAATACACTGGGGTTTTTTTGGTGGTCTTTGGCGACCCCTCTGACACCCCCCTTTCAACCCCCCCAGGGGTCCCAACCCCCAGGTTGAGAAATGCTGTACTAAAGCAAGCATGCACAAACTTGGAAAAAGAAAGGGCCTGAGACTGTTAGGAATGCTGGGAGTTGAGGTCCAAAACACCTGGGGGGGGGGGAGCATGTTTGCCCATGCTTCTACTAAAGGAACCCAGTGCAATAATTCATGGTGCAACCTTAATGAATCATCTTCTGCATTAGGCCACATCACAATATTGTAGCTAAAACACCAGGAATTTGATAAAATCACTGATTATTCTACAAAACCACAGTAACAATTAAAACAATGGAGAATATTTACAACACTTACAAGTGAAACAACATGCTTCCAGGTAGGAAAGAATTAGTAGGTTGTGACTGCTACTTCCTACAGCTACTCAAGGGATGTCCTGTCACACTTTACCTGTTTGCTTATCCTCTGTAGGCAATGCGGTTGAAGTGTATGCCCAGTCAACGTTCCTTCTTGTTTCTCGATATTGCTTTAGGTTTCAGAGCTAGAAAATATATTTGTAGGATCCAAAAGGTTTTGGAAGACAAGTTGCTTATTCACATTTTTTCAAAAACCCTTTCCCTAATTATTCGCAATGATTACTCTGGTGTACTGTAATGAAATCAAAGTGTTGGCCATATTGAATGGAATTGTGTTTCTATAAACCATGTAAGTGAACAGGTCATTTTTAACTGATTCATAAATGATTCACATATTTACTTTAGCAATCAGCATTGAACAGGTCAAGACTTGGTAAACTATGAACAGATATATATGAAAAACCTGTTTGCTCCTGAGATGACATTTTTCTGCTTCATAGTATCAAATATTACACATATGATTCCGGGGGGAAAAAGAATGATTAACCAGCTTGAACAAAATGTTGCTATATTGTTGCATAGTCAAGTGGCTCATATAAATATGTTGAGGTTAAAACACATACTATAATCTTCTGGTGGAGTGTAAATATTGCTGTTCACTTCAGAAGTGATACAGTGTTCTCTGCATCATTGTAATTAACTCAGAAGAGTGATCCTCTTTTCTTTTTAAAGGAGCAGTGGAACTCTCTGCCCAGGAGTGTGGTGGAGGCTCCTTCTTTGGAAGCTTTTAAACAGAGGCTGGATGGCCATCTGTCAGGGGTGATTTGAATGCAATATTCCTGCCATGAGGTGTCTTCCAACTCTTTGATTCTATGATTCTATGAGCAGAGCTGTAGTATTTAAAACAGATTTGAATACTGCCAAAGTCCAGAAATCATTGGTTAAATTAGTTTGAATCTGGACTAAAAGCTAATAAAGAATAATTTAGTGGAGAATCCTGCAATATTGAATTCCCTACTTTTCTTTCTAGTCAATTTTTGCCTGAAAGAACAGAACCCTGACTAGCTCCAGCTCATGTTCCTTCTGATATTGAAATTACCTAGAGACCATTAGATGGAGTCTTATTGGAAAGTGCTTAATTTTGCATCAAATGTCCCCCCCCCCCCAATGAAGTCCTGGTGTGTTGGCTGCTCTGGGGACCAATGTAGCTCCTTTTGACTAACTATTCACATAGGACATACGTCTGGTGTTGTGCACTATAACCATTAGGCAAATAGTTTTTAACACTATTTCATTTATGTAAACATTTTTGATGTTGTTATGAGCATCTTTTAGTACATTTTCAACATGCAGAAGATTATTTTAAGAATCAGAAGAAGCTCTAAATCTGTGTTTCTCAGCCTTCCTATTGCTGAAACCCCTTAATACAGTTCCCCATGTTGTGGTGTCCCCCAACCATTATTTTCATTGCCACTATATAAATGTAATTTTGCTACCATTATGAATCATAATGTAAATATCTGATATGCAGGATGTATTTTCATTCACTGGACCAAATTTATAATTTTCAATTTCCTAAAATTTTATTAATGAGATTTTAGGCACTGTTRATTATACTTATGCCATTGTATTTATACTTATGTATTGTTGTCTGCATGTGGCATTTGGAGTGTTTCTGTGAGCCACCCTGAGTCCCTTTGGGGAGATGGTGGCAGCGTACAAATAAAGATGAAGATGATGATGCTTATTACCCGATAAGCCCAAATTTGAATATTGGTGGGGTTGGGGGGGGGGGGTTGATTTTGTCATTTGAGAATATTGTTGCTGGGATTTACAGTTCACCTACAATCAAAGAGCATTCTGAACTCCACCAATGATGGAATTGAACCAAACTTGGCACACAGAACTCCCATGGCCAACAAGAAATACTGGAAAGACTGCTTGAAACAAGAATAATAAAATAAGCACTATTGGACATCATGTAGAATAACAGAGAAAGGCTGATCAGTGAAGTACCAATAACATTTAGAGCAAGCCTCAACCAAACATTCACTACAATCATCATTCGTAACTGATACTTGTTATCATCACAGTTTTCAGAAATTACTGTCATCCAGAATACTGTTAGTTAACATATGAGTATGGTGAATTGTGAAGTTGTGGCATATGTTTCCATGCAAAACTGCAAAAATCACTAACTGCCTTGTGTTTTTCTTACATCATTAGCTGTTTTATCTCGGCAAATGTGTAAATTTGTATTGAATATCATTTTAAGTGAACTCCAATGGCATTTTCTGAGTATGTGCATATGTTTCCTTATTTTATTTCTATTGCTTTAACTCTCCTGCAAACTTTCTCAGACATTTGGCTCAAACAAAATCCAGAAGCCTTTAAATAAGCACCCCACAATCAGTGTAATGTAGTAGTTTGCATGTTGGACTAGAACTCTGGAGATCCGAGTTTGAATAGTTTGAAAAGTTACATTGTCTCAGCCTCAGAGAAAGACCATAATGACTGATCAAATTGTGGCAAGAAAATCCAGGGATATGTTCACTTTAGGGTTGTCAGATATGATCTGAAGGCACATGACAACCAAACACCTGGAAACAGAAAATGTGTGATTAGGGATGCATCATCTCCAGCCAGTCTGCTGATATAGAGCATGTTCTCCAAATTTCTTTTGTAAGACAAGAACTGCTGTTCTAGTCTTGGGCATCTTTTCTGTCTGGACGTTTATCTCAGCCAGCTAAAACTGACTCTGATTATCACATAGGTTGGAAACACATCACATTGTGCATTCTCAAGTCTTTAGGAAATCCATCTCTACCAGTTTCCAGGAAAAAAAAAATCTATGGTTATTTGTTCTTTTCATGAGCAGCATAACCTCCATAATTTGTCATGCTCCTGTTGCTACTATAAAGTTATTTAATCCAAATTCACTTGATGCACTTACTGAATTGGGATGAAAAGTGGACAGGAAGACAATTAAAATTTCCTCCTGATCCCCCAAAGGGTTTTTAAGGAGATGAGCTAGTCATAATTATCTGTGAACTGGGGAAGAGTTATACAGTGCTTTTTAAAGAAATGTAGACATATAGAATAAAAATATGCAGTGGTCATACAACTTGAAGAAGATGAAGGGAGGAGTGCTGGATTTCTTGTGCCATAAAAAAGAGCAAATGTGGAGTTATGTCAACAGGAAATTGGGTCTCCCAGGAGAGTAGAACTTCCAGCCTGTGGATCTAATTCAGTCTACAAGAAGACCCAGTCCTTTCTGAGGAAGCACTGTGGGTCCTCTTTTATCCAAAATCCCCTTCCTGGGGAACCTCATCCCATGTCATATTTTGAACCAGAAATAAAGTAGGACTGGTGACTCCTCCAGTTGACTCTGAGAATTTAATGGGGAGCTTTGCCCACATTCTTCAGTGTTGGTGGCAGAAGTATTCTTGCAGCTGATGCTTTGGCTAGAAACTGCCCTGCCTTGCATTCTCCCTGATGGAGAAAAGGCCATGGTGGGCAAAGCTTCCAGGAGTCAGGTACCGGATCCAGGAATATTCTTGCAACCAGTATACTGGCTGCTATTCACAGGCATGTCAAGGAAAAACAACTTTTCTCCTATATTGTAGCTGTGTTTTTTGGGTGTTGAATTCAAATAACATAATAAGGATATCCTTTCACACTATTTCTTCAACAAATTTAATTACTAATTTCAATACTAATTTTGTCTAGTCACATACTGCAATATTAAAATCTAAACAAAGTGTGGATTGTGGTGGACCAAATCTGCGGTCATATTTGGATTCAGAACATCACATTCCTATAAAATTGTAATATATTTATTAAATAAAAAATCTTTATTCTCAGTTTTGCAGACACAT